ACAACCCTTGGAGTAAGTTGATAAACTTCACTCAGCTTTTCTGCCAGTCGGCATTACTTTTTGTTTCACTAGCATGACTTTGTTCTTCCCCCAGGAGAGCCTTGAGAGGCCACATGGGAAGCAGTTGGATTTGTGCATGATCCTCAAGAACAGCAACCCTGATTCCTATCACTGAACGCAAGGTCTTAGCCTGTCAGAAGAAATGCGTGTGCAGCGGGCGAGAGAATCTCAAACGCCATATAGCAAGTCGTCAAATTTGACAACTGTCCCAGTCGCATGTCCTGCCTCTACACGATTTGCATCGAAAACAAAACAAATTGTGAACCGTCCCGTGCTTTTAGGAAGATGTCAATTAAATAAGTAGGAGATGTCTCTCCTCGGAGACCCTACCACCTAAAAGAACGCAGATGTTTGGATTCATCGGAGCAAGTCTTGACTCCCTTCAATCTAGCTCCAGATAGAACGAAGTCCCAGTGGCTTTGAGGTTAGTTCTCCTCTCAGTTGCTCACAAATTCCATGACTAGATGGTTAGAGAGTGTTTTCCCACACCATCAACCACGTTGTAACGACCGAGGCAGGACAATGAACGTAGGAAGCGATGAAGAAGGCTTCGTGATAGTTGGATAATTTGTTTAACTCTCCCATTTTAACTATGCAGCCTCGAAGGCCTTAGTCACTGCACTCTTGCCTAACCGTATAGCTTCTAAGTTATGGCAGTAACTAACTCTGTCCTCCCAATGCAAGCAACACATTTCGTTGGAGTACTTTGTCCATCTCTGTCTTTAAGGGAGCATAGCGTAGCCAATAATTATAGCAACCCCAAAAGGGCTTTTACATCCCATTATTTGAATCTTTAGTGGAGCTTTAGTTGAGTCACAATTCGAAGTTGAAAAAAAGAGAATTTTATTTAATATGAACACACTTGTGCATTTTGGATCGGCATAAATGCAGCAGGCCTATCTTTGTGGGACATTAAATTGCATCACCCCTCAGGCGATTCGTGTTTCAAGGGGTTTTAAAAATGGTATAAGATACTTGGAGAGAAGTTTTTGAACAACGTGCACAAACACAGCTGATTTTTGTTTTCTTTAAAAAGAGTAGACGACATTACATTTAAAAGCACCTTGTCCTTCAAGTTTGTGGCTTTCTGCAATGACTTTTAGCGAAAGGGAGAAAGTGAGCAAAATGCAGAAACCATCCACCCAAGCGGAGGAGAGTGAAGCGGGCCAAGAGAATACAATATTGCAGTAAACTATTAAAGCTTCGGCTATTTTTTATTTGCGGTAGCTAGATTAAGTAGTGGGGTCAATTTTCACCGCTGGTTTGTGGTCTTACGGAAGTGGCAAGTAAAGAGGAGCAACTATCAACGTGCTCGAAAAAAGGAGCTGAATCGCCGCAGAATCAAACAAGCCATGGCACTAGAAGCAATATTAGGAGTCAAACCTTCCACAGCGACGGGTTCTTTGTCCTCGCATGCAAGTAAGCGATTCACAGGAAAAAATAATAATTATCTTAATAAAATGGGCATATATTGTCCTACTTTTAAGTTCCATTCCTGAGTGGTTTGGTCTATTAAGCTCTATTACGCCCAGGAAATTGGAAGTTGCTACAAGTTTGAAACACTATTTTTAATGGTTCAAGATTTCTATAAAAATTCCATTCGATTTTAAAATTATTTATCGGAAGATGAAACAGGACGAGTAATGACAACCACAAACGCAATTATATACATTGTATCTCAGTTCAGCTACAAGTCATGACCACTTTCGCCAAAAAAAATCAATCACGCATAATTGAACGGATCGATAAACCAATAATCACGTTTAAGGGCGAACGGAGGACACTCACTTCTCATAGTAGTCGACAATGTTAGCTTGAAAGTCCTTTGGTGGTAGCTCCATTTTGCCTCGCTGATGCTGGTGCTGGCGCTGGTGCTAGCTCCACCTCATATCGACAATCAGAGTAGCCTGCCTGTGACGTGTGTCAGTGTGGTTGAAGTGCGCAGCTATGGAATGCACGCGCGAGCGCGCTGCGTACCCGCTACTGTCACAGCTCGGTCACTAGTCCTACAGCCGGGAGGTTGAAGCAAGTAGGTGGTCGGTTGTTCTCTCTCGCGCCATGTGTACAAATGCGATTGTACGTGTGCGTGTGTGATGACGACAAGGAAGGAAATGGGTGTCCCTCTATCGGGGTCACCGAACCAGCCCTAACTCCCTCCACCCTTCCCCCCTCCCTCCTCCAACCACCTCGCTCGAGTGCAGTGTACCGCGTGCACGCGTGCATGCTTGCGGGTGTGTGCGTGTGCGTGCATACATGCGTGCAAACTTCGATTGAAAATAGCTAGGTCTCTGACTGCGGTGCTGAAACGAAGCCAGTTCAAAGTCAACGAGAGTGTACCTATTTTGACTACCTTGGTTCCAAAAGATGAGGGAAAGAGTCTTTTACTTTCGTCAAATTCATTTTCAGGATAGGCATTTCAGTGAACTTTGTAAATCAATTCGCTCGAATTCTATGTTTAATTGGTCAGTCTAAATAATGGGATAAATTTAATTGCTCATAAATTTGTTTACATGAAAATTTCATACAGCCCTACCTCGATTTCTTATGTATACTTATAATGCATGCACTCCTCACACACTTAAGCGCATTAGGGCCTACTTCGGACACAGATCGAACCCAATTGCAATGTTCATTTAGCTGCATTTTTTATGCTTCAATTTAACTATTTAACTAACTAAGACCCTTTTACAAGCCTACTGCATTAGTTTTCAAATATGATGAAGTGTTTATTGCTAGCTTAACTCAGTGTGCCAGTATAGAATCCACTTTGGAGCTTTACCTTTGTACGTATTCAATGACCCGGCTTTTGGCCCGTGTTGGTAGCCCCAGCAATTTGTTGAAGTAGACAATGCATAATGCATCTGAGCATTATGCCATCCACCAAGTGAAGAGAAGGCCTTGGAGACCCTCAGCGTCCGTAAACACAAAATGGGATGTCTTAATCGATGGTGAGTTACAACTACAAAATTGAAGATAGTTGAGCTTTAGAAAAATCACAAAGCAGCAAGACGGTGAAGGAATGTCACTGACATGATACTAGTATTTGATGTTTCTAAAACACGAGCATATGTTGATCAAAAGAGCAAGACCCAAGTTCTAGGTGCGAGACCATGAATTGGAGTCATTTGAGCTTCTGGCCAGCAATCCACCGAGTGACTTGTGCAGGAGGCTCGAACACTCAACAACCTGCCGGCCAGGTCCAAACTCAACTGCACGAACCGCGGGTTCCAATGACTGTCACGCATGCTGCAACACACCAAATAACAAACAACTTTTTAGCTACACCACATCACCCTTCCGCCATCACTTCGGCTCACAGCTGTGCAGAATACGTCCTTGCAGCAGTGCTCGATGCTCGCTCGAGCCAGTGGAAAAGGGACATGCACCTTACACTTTCCACTGTGCAGATATGAACCTTGCAAAATGCTACGCTCTGAATGTTTTGCCTCTCCGTCCAACTACAACCCGACACATGGAGGCAAAATCTCCGGGCACAACACACGAACGTGCGCGTTGTGTTGAACACCATGAAGTGGCTTTTTAGTCAGTGGAGCAGCAGTGACGCGGTTCTGGAGGCGACTGTCTCTGGTGGCTCAAACTGATTTCGAATGTAGCACTGACATGACCGTGGAATGACCGGAGGGGTGTGACGACGTCTGGTGTGGTGTGACGTGGTGGTTTGTTGCAGTCAGTGGGGAGCGATGGAGGATGTGTGTTTGCTTATGCAATGCATGTGTGTGGAGCGACAGTTGATCATTGCCAGCAGATGATTTATGGAGACATTCACTGTCTTCATCCCTTTCCTTATTTCAACGTCCGTAGACGGACATAGAAATGTTGGTTGAGGGTTAATTAAAGGAGGTTAGCGCCCTTGACTTTCTTGTAATTTGTAATTCTTCAAGACGATTTCTTCTCCAGCTTAAATCAGTAGTCTTTCGTACCATCCGCACATGAGTAACATGCATTGTACTTCACCACAGCATCTACCCCCGAACAGGACAGGGGTTCGCGGTTCGCGAAAATAAATTGTCTTCTGCCTTTCACAATAAACATTCTAATACTTAACATCTAATTTCTTTTTCGGATAGTATGCCTTGAGGAGCGAAGTTCGGAAGTTCATTTAGCGGTATGGGTATTTAAAGCGGGTTTCGTGCACAATTAGAGGAGTCTGTATTTGAGCCTCTTCGTTCGAAAATCGCGTTAGATGGCTCTATTTTCCGAGCGTCTATGCTTATTATTGCTTTCGTATCACCTAACCAAAGAAACTCTTATAATGTATCAATATGTGAATACATGGTTTCAGTACATGGGTGATGATGTTCTTCCAGCCTCAGTTGTGTAACCAAATTTACTTTCTGTTCTGACTTGCCACTAAAAGCGATAAAAATCCAAAACATCTATCAAAATTTCCGCTGACTTGTGTATGCATAACAAATTAGATAATATCTTTCATAATGTCAAGGCAACACAGCTCATACTTGTGTAAAACTCTTAAGCACTAAGAGAATGACTCCCGCTGTTCGCAATAAAATTCTAAAGCAAACCTCAAATTTACATAAGCTAGCCATCTCATTAAAATCGGTTTATAACATCTTTAACTGAAGAGATTTCAAGCGCACGCTATTTAGTGATTGTCCTTGCAAATTGTCTTGTTCGTTATTGGTGTTCGCAGTCGTGTGCTTTCCGTCGGTTTTGTTTAATTTACTTATCAACCAGTCTGACGTTGTTTTGGCAATCTAGTTAACGTGTTCTCCTTTTGCGCAGCACTAGTCGGCTTTGGAGTTTCCATTTGAGGCTTGTATTGTAATAGATTTTGCCTTTTATTCACTGAGACGGCTCCGCCTTAATACCGCCTATTAACAGCAGAACTTGCTAATTATGCATCGGCTATGTCGTGTTTTAACCTTTGCAGATTCTACTCCTATGAACTCTGGAAAACCATGAAGAAACTTTGGTGGATTGACTGCATCTTGCTATTTTCGCTAGTCCAATGTGAAAAATTCCAAAGACGTGACCATTCTCTCGTTCCGCCGTATACTGGTACAGCATATTTTTCCTATTGTCCTTGCGAGCGGAACATCTTTGTGGCTAAGAATTTCCATTTTCGGCTTGATGACTGGTATTTTTTAAACATTAAGGCGGGTGGACGTCATACGGCACAACAATGTTTTCCCCGAGCATAGTCCGCCTTACCTCTGAACAACGTGGCGCGGTGGCAGGTGTATCCAATGTTTATCCCCTCTACTCCCGTGACTGGGAAATCATAATTGATTTTAAGGTTTCTGGATCCACAGGAAGCTTATTCGGGGACGGCTTTGCATTTTGGTACACTGCTAATCCCATTAAGCCAGGTTAGAGGAATGGGGAGGGTTACATCATACCTGTTTCATAGGCATCTTCTTTTATCTGGTTTCTTTTATTCACATTCAGGTCCGGCTCTGGGTGCAGAGACGACTTTTCGAGGCCTGGGCATCTTCTACGACACATATAGCAATCATAACGGTGAGCATGGTCACGAGCATCCCTACGTAAGTGCGATGGTGAACAATGGATCCGTGGCTTATGATCATGATCATGATGGGACTCAGACTCAACTGGCTGGATGTCATGCTCCCTTTCGAAATAAGAACCACAAAACCAAAACGCGCATCCAATATTCCAAAGATACTCTCAGTGTATGTCCATCTGAGTAAAATCTGACTTAAATTCTGGTTAAATTAGCAAATTATTGATGGGCCAATGAAGTTACTAGGAACTAGGTATCAGATATTTGCATGAGAAATTAGAAAACTCCGTTTAATTGTTTGTCTCTTGCTGAATGCAGCCAAATGTTCTTATTGATCACATAAATGCTTAATGCTTTTAACTACTCAAACTCTGTCTTAACCCAATAGTGGAGGTTTCATTTACTGCACTGTTTTAGTCCATTGAAGATGTTTGCGTCTTGTAAGTCGAAATCCTTTTATCAACCATCTCTTCGCCTGTTTTAGGTTGCCATGGATATTGATAATCAAAACAAGTGGACAACGTGCTTTGAAGTTAGTGGTGTGCATCTGCCGACCGGCTACTATCTCGGTGTCTCCGCTGCTACCGGTGACTTGACAGGTGCGTTGAACTTGCGACCTTCAATATCCAATTCCTTGCTTATGGCTCAAGACTACTCACTATAAACTCCATTGTTTATGTATACCCCCTAAAAGACTTATTTCGCTTCTCCTTTTAGATATCCATGAAATTCTATCCCTGAAAACTTACGACTTAGGCCTCGCGTATACCGTATGTTTTGCCTCTCAGTTAAATTATGCAGTCCTCTTGATTTCCTAAATATCAGATTTGACTGGGTTTTGTTGACAAACTTTACATACTTTGTTTCCTGATTTTCTTATCCAAATCACTAATTAAGGCATAATGAATGAACTGCATAATTTGTGGGTTTCACATGCTACCATTTATCCTCATATTAGTAGGGACTGGATTTTTTTAGCCAAGGAACAATTCATTTTAGAAATACTCATACTCATACATGTGTAGTTTCTGCATTATTTGATTACGCTTCTTTTTCCTGTTGTTTAGGACGAAGAACTGCTTGAGGATAGAAGCGCCATCGAGCCTTCGGCCGAATCTGCAGAACCGCCAAGACGTAAGTGTTGCCTTTGGAAGTGAAGATGGGTTGTTTCCTGTTGTTGCTTTTCTTTTGACTACATCCGGTCTTCACTTTAGCGCGTGTTGAAGATGTTCCGCAAAGCTCAATATGGAGCACCCTCTTCTATGTTTTCGCTGGTTTCTTTCTTCTTTGCTTCTGCTTCCTTGCACGCATGTACTACGTGAACAATCAACGACGTAAGAAGCGACTATTTTAAAGGCTGCTACCTCATCTGACTTACTTTATTCACTCCTCAGCTCCTATTTTATTTCGTCACAATCGGTTAGTCATGTCACCCAACTCGATTACTTTCTGTCCTCGCTCCCTTCCTCTTTTCAGCCCCTCTCGTGTGTGAATAGCCATTCCTTTTTACAATGTTTTATGCTGAAAGTGTAGAAATGAAGCGAACTTTTACCTGGCACATCTTTATGGAATGTCAAAAATTTGGTTATGTCGTTCCTCTGGTCTCTTTATCTTCGGTCTCTAGGACGTGGTTGCTGAGACGTTATGGCTTTTTACGTTTGGTGGATCTTGGTCCACCTTGAAAGGTTTAATTCTATCAAGACATCTTGCCCAGTTCCTGATAATTGGCTCAAAGTGTGAACTGGGGTCTCCTCGAGCATACGTCGTGGTAGTCAACTGGAGGGATGGAGAATTCTCTATGAATCGTAGTATAATTTAGCATACTCCCTGTAGCCACTCCGCTGAATGAAGAAGTCTTCTGTGGTTACCACACATAGACGGCTGTTTCTGCAATTTCGATGTTCACGGATACGCATCCTACGAGGGGTACTACTTGTTAGCATGTGTAGTTTTCGCATTTGAAGGGAAAAGTGCAGATTTTAGCACTTGAAGGTCAGTTTTCCTTTCTTATAAATTCCCTAGGCCCTATTTGATCCGACTGCTGTGCTGATTACCATCAGTGTCCGGGGTCGTATTAGAAGAATCTTTCTCATAAGTTAGCAGGTTCAGATGAAAGAAAATTTGCAACTCTGATTATCTTTTCCTAAAGCGTAGCGCCTTACCACATACACGGTTACTTCTCGTTTAGGACTGAGGTTATACTTGTTTACGCGGGTGGATAAAAAGACCGCATTGGCATGCGCTGGCGGCACAAACATGCATCTTGTCTGTGAAAAGTAAGCATCTACAAGAAACCGACTGTTAAGCATGCACTAGTTGAGTTTAAAGGAAAACAAAGACGCTGAATGCTTTCAAGTCTTTGAGAGGGAGGTGAATCGGCTGAGAAATTCATGCTTGATTGACGGCACTACCCATGGCCTTGATTAGGCTAGCACTGAGAGCTCCGCCACTGTTTCTTTACTGGACGGCCGCATTGGTTTTCTCTTGCCCTTTCCACACGTTAATCATTACATATTCTATTCGGGTGGCTACAGTAATGTGAGCATACAGTTTATGGCACTACGCCTCGAATCGGGGAGGCACGTAACTCGAACTGCGCCTTAAGTGTTTTGAGTGAGTGTGCTGAAAGCAGATTTAAGTTGGGTTAACGCCTTGATCTTGCATTCCTTGAGTTATCCAAAAAGGAGTGTGATCCTGTTGGTATAGAAATGGGAACACAGTTGTGCAGAGCTCAACGCTGTTTATGTGAACGCAGATATGCCTGCGAATGAAGATATCTTTAAAGCAAGATATTTAGTGAAACAAATCTCCTTCGCTTCCGTTATATTAAAAGTACTTTTGAATTCCAACAGTCCCCTCTCAAGTTAGTCACAACGATTTCATAAGCTTTAACGGGTCTAGAAATGCCTTCTATTGTGCTTCCATTAAGGAACTGTAAAGTCCAGAATCGTTAGTGAACTTATTAGGACTCATGTGGATAGCAGGAAAGTCGAAATCCAGGAGATCAAAATGATCAAAGGCTTAGCGGAAATCTCAAGGACCCGTTTTTTCAACCATTCCTGTCTTTTTTACCATTGAATAATTTTTATGCATTCATTATAATTCTCATGATGCTTGGAAATGCCTTTTGAGTGAGAGCGCTAAGTGTAATTCATTCCCATAATTGAGGAATCATCGAAGTTCCTGAAGCCTGTGTTAGGTCCTGTAACACGTGTGTGACTGTTGGTCGCTTTGGTGTTTATCTCGCTCCTGGCTGGGTAAGCTGGCTTTCGGTTCCGGCCAAAGCCTTCTACTACCAAATCGGAAGTCTCGGGACACTACAAGTCCAACATCCAGATTTTTACCAATTTTATGACACCCACGTGACTGTCAACCCACTGTCTTCACTCAAAGGATCCGAGTGCAAGAGAAGTGGACTTAAGTCACGAAATTGGACAGTAAAGAATCGCTGATTGGTTGTTCATGAGCCCCGCGTAATGTGGATGAGACCCTGCAAATTTTTATGCCTTCACCAGGCACCTCGGAGAATACTGTACAACGGTATCTGTGGTTGAGCATCAGGGAGCCTTGCAAAACACAGCTGGGATAAGCTATTACCGTAAGACCATCTGTCTAGAGGTGAATTTTTTTGAAAGGACGCAAAGCCAATCAGTGTAGTTAAACTTGTGAAAGTACTTATGGACCAATCAAACGAGGCTAAAAACGCAAAACTGTGATCCGTATAATCTACTTAAGTGCGAAAAGCTGATAAAATATTGATTGATTTTTCATGCAAAATATATTCATTGCGCCATCATGAGATTTCCTAACCTTTGCAGGTGTTAACAGTGCTCTCAGCGAGTTCATCTAAGGCATTTTTCTTGAATTTGGCTGGTGTAAAAGCACAACATCCTTCGAGAAAGCTGAGAAGCCCTGAAATTGGAAGGCAAATCACACCAGTACTTAAAATCTGCCCTCAATATACGCCCTGTGGTCCACAATTAGTCCTACAGAGCTGAATCACACCTTCGAATGCCTTCAGACGCTTTAAAGCACCAACAACATAAAAGTGATCTTGCAAGGTCACAGTGATGAGGATGCTGCTTCCGAGTCTCGGTCCGGTGATAGAAGTAGTGAAGTAGTGGACCTGTTAACACGGAGGCAGAAAGTGTTCTGGTGACTGAGACCCGTGTAATGGTGTGGGTGCGTGTAGCAGAAAATATATGCTCATTATTTTATGCTGCAATGCAAAATCAAAAGGTGTGATGCAGTGCATAGAACTGCTTCCATATTTACTTTGCATCACTCAAATTGCGACCTCCTTGCCTTTAGCACTTAAAATTGGTTATAGTAAATTCATACATTGCATACTACTGGCAACCAATCGTCATTTGTTTTAAGATTTGTTTTGATTTTGTGTGCAAATGAGGCCTCGTTTTAGCAAACCAGCTCGGTGATGTAGTTCGGTGGTGCGCCCACTGCATGAAATCTCACAGTGGCAACAGCGGAAAGCCGACCTCGTCGCATAGAGCACATGACCTAGCTCCAATTTTTGATTGCATTACGTTATTGCGGTGCCAGAAAGACGCATTTTTGCCCATGGGATAATTTCAGTAGTGCCATAGCTCTTCTGTGTGTCAAAAATACATCTGCTGCTACAGACTCTTTTGACTTGCAGGAAAGACTCAGGTTCCCTCAATACTGGTTTGCATTTAAACTTATTCTATGATTCCTGACAACCCGTTGCGAAATATAATAAAAATGATTGAGTATACAGCAGGTTTTAATGAAATCCTTAGGAGAAAATGTATTTTGCTTACCTTTACCAATTGTGAAGAGCGTTCAGTGGGGCGCATCATTTCGTCACCGCCTTCACCATTTACCCTTGCAAATGATTTCGTCAAAGGGTCGCCTCTAACTGACTAATCATGGAACACAGCGAGATCAAAAGAAAGTTCACCCTTCGTTTGGAGCTCTTCGTACCCTAATACTCACTTCGGGTAATATTTGAGTTGTTGCAGAGCAAAATCATGTGTGTGCACTGAAATTTGCCACGAATGCGAAAATTTAGTCCTTTTTATAAGTTATGCAAAACGCACCACTTATCCGATCCTGTGATAGTGTTGCAAGCCCTCATTCTCAATCGCACACATTAATCGGTCTCATCCCCTTGCGGCACCAAAGGAAAGTGTTAATCACTAAAGTTATGAGGATCCTAGTAGAAAAATTTTACTTTTCCATACGAAAAGTAATGTGAATCACATATCTGAAAGTATGCATGAATAATTGTGCTAAGGCATTTGAATGGAAAAATGACGGTCTTAGGGGAGAGTGTGCGGGATTCTAATAATACTCATATGATTTGAATCAAGTAATCCAATATATAAATTATTATTATATAATATAAAAACCTGTCACAGAGATCTAATGACTCGATATACAAGAGGTTTTGTGTTACCAATGGACAGTGTGGCTCTGTTTAACTTGGAAATTAGCAGTCGTATATTTTGTGCAAGAACAAGCCGTGTATTAGGCACATTGTGATCCCTTGCTTGCCCTTTTGTTCTGCAGCGTGGCATCCAAGGCGCACCAATCGACTTCCAAATCATGTGATGCTCCAAAAATTTTTTAAAAAATAAAAGCGTTTGAAAAGTATCGGACGGAAAATATGGTACAATAGGTTTGTTGTTTGCCTAGTAATCTGTTTTGCCTATGGGCAAGGTAAAGAATGCGTTTGTTCGATTCGTGTAAGCTGATCTTCGGGTCGTGTCAGTAAATTCCCTTTATTTCACAGGAAATCATGTCTAATTGCAAAGTAGTCTCGGGAAGCTGCATTATATTTCGCGCAATTAGAAGAGCTTGCGCCTATTTGCATAATTCAAACGCAGAGTTTGTCCAGTTCATCCATTAATAAAGGCGCGAAAATTCAGTGGATAATCTCGCGTAGCCATACGAGGCATAAAAAGGACAAGGCCAATCCACAGAGTTCAAGTATTTTCAAAAAATGTAAAAGTGCATGCATGTTAAGTACCAAAGCCAATATTTGCGAATGACAATTACGCAGCAGCTAACGGATCTGTGAGAAGATTGACTATTAGCCCGCCCCGAGGCAATACGATTGTACACTTAGGGGCTCCAGAAATTCCATGGTGCGTTGTTTTCAAACCCACTCCATAATTACGCGTGCTTTTTAATTGCTATAATTAACAAATATTTGGCAAGGTCTTTGGAAGCATATGCATGTTAAAAGTCAATGCGTTTAAGTTAATGTTTGTTTTACCGCATAAGCTGTTTTTGGTCATCTTAGGCGGCTAGCCTGGGTCTGCCCTTGCCTGTTTTCGATCTGTGAAGATGTCGCTCACCGGATTGCGTAAACAAATAAACAAGGCAAATCAGGTAGGGTCTTCTGTCTAGTTTTACCTTTCTTTTAGTTTATGTCCGAGAAAATTGGCGGAGCCGAAGGTACTAAACTCGATGAGGAGTACATTCACTGTGAGAAGGTAGTATTTTTTTTATTTGATTGCCTGCAGCAAATTGATATCATGTCAAAGCTTATTGAGGAAATAATTACCAAAACTCATGAATACCTCCAACCCAATCCTGCGACACGGGCAAAGCTTGCTACACTAAACACCTTCAATAAAATTCAAGGCAAAGGGAAGGCACCTCCTTATCCTCAACCCGAAGGTCAACTTGGGGAATGCATGCTGAAATATGGCCATGAGTTGGATCATGACTCTCTTTTTGGTATGAGTTTTGCATTTTCCATTTCGGTTTATTCATTAGATTGGTTGTGTCGATTTTTGGAAAATGGTGTAGCATTTTGATTTTTACATTCTCTTGCCTAAGGTGAATGCCTCATTCAGGCGGGAAATGCCTTCAAAAATATGGAGGATATCAAATATAACATGGAGGACCAGGTGAAACGGGAATATATCGAACCGCTTCGTGGTATCCAGTCCGTAGAACTCAAGGAGATCAATGTATGTTCCTTCTCCCGTGCTACTTGTTATTTTAATGTGAAAGTTCGTTTCTCATGTGCTGCTTGTTTTGTTCAGTTCCATCGCAAGAAGCTGGAGGGACGTCGTCTGGATTTCGATTGCAAGAAAAGAAAAAAGGATAGTAGTGAGTAACTTTGAATTCGATACTTACAGATGCTTTGGTATTTTAAATTTGAATTTTGACACTTTTATGCGAATCGGTCTTTTTTTATTTGCATTAAACAAAGATCGTCAACAAGCTAAACATACTTCCGATGGACTCATTTCATTTTATAATTCCTTCGGTCTACAGACTGTAAGATCATATCGTCTTTCGGAAGCTTATCGTTATACTTATTGGAATTAGTTTCGTACGTGCATGCCGTGATCTTTCGGTTGTGCTTGAGATCTGAGTGCTGCGAACAGTTCCGGTCGCTTTTGTAGCGAATCAGTGGTGTTGTAGTAAGATGAATTAGAGTGGCCTTAAAGGGATGGTTCTAGCTATTCAGTTGTTCTCTTAACTTGAACATGTCTGGTGTTTATTCCGTGTTACAAAGGGGCTAAACACACTGGTACGTTCACCATGTTTGTTAATGTTCTGATGTGGCGTTTTAATTATTTTCCATTCGTTATTAGATGACCCATCTTCATGCGTTTCGCCTCTTTAATTAGTATTAACTCTTCCTCGTACTCTTGTGTCACCAATTAGACATTTTTTTTATCAGCGCAGCGTCCATGTTTCGTCCATTTACTCGTGAGTCACACAAGGGTGTCGTGTCCATCGCTACTCTAGTGTGTAAACATATTTGTCTGTGCGCTTTTGTGAGTGTACCTGTACAACTATCATTACTTACGAATGATTTGATACCATTCTCAAAAAACGTGGTTAGATTACCACTTTGTTCTCTAGCTATAAAATTACTGCTGAGCGCATGGCTATTTCATGTATGTAGAAATGTTAAATCCCACAATGGTGCATAGTTGATACTTTGATGCTCTATTTTCTTTTCTTCAATATTCTAGCCGTGCCCAAAAGTATGTAATCTGAACATTACCGATCACTGCAATCGTTCACGCTTGCTCCTTTTGCCTCTGTTTTTAGTCTTCCCCGATGTCTTCAGCTCTCATCTCACTGAGTTTCACATCTGCTTAACTCCCCACTCCCCTTCCTTGTGCGTACGCGCGCCCCTAACACCTTTAAGTGGTGGCTTGCTTACTCCAACATGTTAATTCCCCTTTTCAGATCCTCAGGCTGCTAAGGTGCTGGAAGATGAGGTAAAAGCTGCAGAGGACAAGTTTCAGGAGTCAAAAATTCTTGCTGAGACGGCCATGGCGAACTTCCTGGCTTCTGATGTGAGTTTCACTATTAGTGGTTCTGCCTTCCCTCCTCCTCTCTCCTGAAATACCAAGTTTGGCTGTTTGTTGGTAACAGGGTGTTTCACTCACTATGGGCCAATTTCACAGTCATTTTTAGGGAACATAAGACGTTTGCCACTTAATATATTGCCCAAATTTGTTGCGAAATTCCCCACTGTGCAGTCGGCTTTCGTTCCTTCCTTCTTTTGACATAACGAGTCAACATCATTTAATTTCAGTTCAATACTTCTTTGAGCGTGAGGAGCAAGTTTGTGAACGGTAGAATGGAACACTCTTGATGCGAGTGTGTTATGCAGAGGCCCGTGTTTTGTTGAATTCTTCATATGCCTGACCTACATAGAACAAATTGTGCTTTTGAGTGCACTGGGGTCATTGATTTGAAATGGTAAAAGAGAAGATGGGAGTTCCAACACCTGTCTGTTTGCGTTATCTAAGGTAGCGTTTTTGCTATTCCGTTTTAGCTGACTGTGGTGGATCTTGAGACATTATATGCATATTTTAAAGTCCTCTCCAACTTATCTCCTATCGCCTTTTGCTCTTCACTTCGTAGGAGTGTGAAGGGAGGCAATTAGTCTTAAATATCAGATGATGGCATTTATGTTGCCTATCTCTGTCTGTCTCCAGTATGGATATATAAGGCTTTTTGGCAATTAGTGATGAGACCATTTAAGTTTCCAAGTTATGAATGAAAAGTCAGAGTGATTTCATACTATTCGGAAAGCGCTTAATCAAGATGCAAGGTGAAGGATGACAGGACACTGCCAGCTGAGAGTGCATCTCTCCGCTTGCCCTCTTTCTGGCGCTGCACTTTAAATGAGGTTTCCTTTTTGCCTAGCATTGTGTCGATTGACGTTCCCACTAGCTTCCTTATTTTCGGCCTCTTTGGCGCCGAGAGGCTTTCATTCACTTCATTTATATTCAAGTAGCACCCCATCCCCTTACTCAAGTTTTCAAACTTCCTTGGATGTTGAGAAATAAGTAGAGTATCGTTCGTTTTGTCCAACTTAACTGTTGTTCGCTTACATATGGAGCCCTTTTTTTGTTGATCACTAGATTTTTGCGTCATTACATTGGTAGGTCCATTTCTTTCATTCTTGATTTCCCCGTTTCCAAAATCCTACGTCAATAATCTCTGCATTTCTATTAGTCCACGAAACGGGAGTGCTAACGCGGAAATTTTGATAATGAGGAATCGACGAGTTAATTGGATACTTTTAGCGTCGGAAAGTTTTCTCGTCTTGCTTGCAAATATTAGCATCATTGCAACTGTCACCTTTTGTATAGTCCCAGACGTTTTCGGTGCAGATGCATGCAGGCTATCGATGCTATCGGCATTCCAGTGAGATACTTTGGTTGATAATTCCATTTCATGATAGCAAGGGCTTGTCGATTTACTAACTTGACCTGGTGCCTCACCTATTATCCTGTGCAATCCTTGCGAAAGAAATGGGATCATATCTCATTAACATCGGGTAAATTCGACTTCTCATTCAAATGAATCACCCACTGATCGTCTATGTTTTTCTCTTATAGTTTGAGCACATCAGTGCTTTGGCAGAATTTGTGGACGCACAGGCCAACTACTACCGTCAAGCCTCAGAAATAATGGATACCTTGCACAAGGCGCTTCTGGAGAAGTAAGTCTCACTCTGTGGTTTTCCGGTTACTTATTTTTATTGGCCGCCCTTTTTCAAGCGGTGAGATTTTGATTCTGGATCTGCTCTTTTCTGATGTTCCTATTTTATTTTCGCTTTTTACACTTTCGCTTGCAGTGCATTTTTTGGCTTGTTACTCTTACGTTATTAAAATTCTCTTGTTTTGACTGAAATGATCATTTTAGGTTTGAGGCGAAGTATGTCGCCACAAAACTTTGGTCGTTCGACAACTATTGGTTGAACGAGTGTGTGTGGTGTACTGCTTTGTGTCAGAAAAAAATACTTTTTTTAAATTGAAACGGTGGGATCAGTGCCATTAGACCCCCTTTTGGTAACTTGTAACGGATCTCCTTTGAACTTTGTACTCACACCATCCTATCATGGAAACTTCCAGCTGAGTTTTAATTTAATGCGGATACGCTATCATTTTTGTACATACTCTTCAATTTTTAGGCAAATGAATTCGCCTTTTTTCAGGGGGAGAAGTTTTCCAGTGTCCATTTTGTGTCAGTTATTATCCATTACTACTTATTACCTTTGCAAAACACTGCAAAACATTCTTACGAATAGCTAATTATTAACTAAATGTTCTATTTTTTGTTGGATGTAAGCATTGAAATGTGTCCTGGAAACTTTTTACTGCTGTTCAGACTTGATCGATCGTCGATGCGTTGAAGCCTTCCCTTGCATTTCGTTGTTGTATTTCCCTTATATCGGTTGTTGTGTCACGGTAGCTGTTTGCCCAACCTCTTGTTTTGCATCACCCTTCCAAGAGGCTTTTTTCCATTGTGGCGTCAGCAAATGCACGGTTCTGTTGCCTTCAGGCTGATTTGTATTCTTTTCGCATGAAGTGCGATTCACAAGCGAATTGGGATGCACATCTTTGGAGGTTCTCATAAACCCTCTAGATGCATCCATTCTCTGTGGGACGCAGTAGCACCCATCTTCGGTCTTCTGCAGACTACCTCGGTTCTCCCTCAAGCTTGGCTTCACGACTCTTGTGCGAATTTCAGCTGACAGCAGAGAGATGAAGAATTTGCTGGTTTGGCTTCTGATCATGGAACTTCGATTCATGTGCGCGTTCGTGTTCGTCCCATGCTTCTGATATTAGAATATAACGGTGAAGCCTATGAACCCTTCAAATGAAATCACTTACTACGAAACATTGGGTCATTTTCTGGAGTTAAATCTACGCTAATCCATTTGCTTTATTTCAAAATATCAAGAACTTTTAGGAGATTTAATGTTTGCTTGTTCATTCTTAGTGAAAGGCACTAAATAAGACAGTTTTTTATCGCATTTAATCAAATGGAGTTCGTTTGTTTCGGTTTCTTACTCCCAAAAGTACTACTCGAACTGCATTTGGCAGTGATAAAAATGCAATTAACCTACATTTGGAAAAATGGTAATTGGTTAGCCTTAGTCTACTCAACCTGATTCATTTTCGTTCGTTTGCCAATTTCATTATCGTTAAGATGTTTACAAACCGCGTCACATATGTGGCACCACCTCTCCATGCTTGAAACCGGCTCTCGGCCTTGGTCGCTTCAAATCGTGTTGCGAAGACATATAGGGATTAGCCTAACAAGTAGGGTGGTTGTAATGTTGATCTCGGTCTGAAGAAAGCGGATGTCTTGGATTCCTTCCCACGGTTGTAGGAGTGGATGGTAAGATCAACACCTATTTGATGATGCCAGACTCGGCGAGAGCTGAGAACTTTACGCTTCTAGCAGCTGAGATGTTGATTGGTTTGGATGTAAGGGCGTAACAGACGATGACAATAAAAACGGCTTTCTACCTTCAATTTTTCCATGTCATTGGGCAGGTTGTCAACCTAATTACCAGAGAGTTGTGGTTGAATCTAGGCCCTAGCTGGGTCAGTCATTTCTTCTTTTGATTGCATTGTTGCAAGCCTCGTCGATACACTATCAATTGGATTATAATTTTTTCATAAAAATCAAATCTAAACGGAGCTGCGTCATTTGGCTTCCAGTCAGCATCCGCAAGAGTGAGGAAACAAGTTATGAAATTCGCGTTTCTTGATTTGCTTCTGGCTGACCTAATAAAGAAGCTCACACCAGTTAGAAATAACAGCTCTTTTTACAAGCGAATCATTCTGTATTTGTTTTTTCCTCTCTGGAAGCGGGAAATGTCAAGTGTTGGGTCTTTCTCATTGGTATTGAGAACATTAAACGCTTGCAAAATAGGAGTGCCATTGTTGGTCATCGTTACACTTTCGTAATATTGCCAACTTTGACTGTAAAACCCAATCCCCTGCAAGTTAATTTTAATTTGCAATAGATGCCTAGCCCTAACATTTACCTTCGTTCTAAATTTTCTACCCATTGGAGGCTTAGCGCGTATTCTCCTTACATATACACTTCAGCTATTCCAAACACTTAAAGAGGGTCTTTTAATTGCGACTCACTCAATTGAAGTCTTTAATAAATTGATTTTGCACTCCTGTAGTTGCGAACCATTGCACAATAGATTGTTTTCAAAAACTTACAGAAAAACGGCAATCATATAGTAAATGACTGATAGGCATGTAGTGGTACATAACCGATGCACCACTTGGTTAAGCTGGAAGTTAGCATTATTCTTTGGCTCCAGATTGGTCGACCTGCTAAAACCGAGGGTAAGGATTATCCCAACTCAAATGAAGTTTCCGACAAGACATTGGTGATGAGGGTAGGATTTTTTTCCTTGGCTGTGTCTACCTCGGTTCGCCTATTGCATTACAGGAAGGATGAGGCGCAATCGCGTGGAAAGCCGACACACACTCCAAAGCCGGTGCAACTCACTAGAACCCTCAGTGGGGAAGTCAGCGCCAAAAATGGGTCAATGATCTCACCGAAAACACCGATAAAGTCGCCTAACATTAAAGGTTAGTTCTCTTCCCATTCTCGTTCCCACCCTCATGTATCCTTATCTGTATTTGATGCTATGCTGTTGGACATCCTTATCACTACTCGCTCCGGCCTTCTTGTGTGCGTTTTCCTCCTACTGTCATCTGCTGTATCCTTGGTGGGAAGGAGGGTCATTAAAAAGGGAGAAAACTGCCGTCTTAGGCATCTAACTTTCACAAGTCCATTCGCCTATCGTTCGCCTTTTTCCTCTCTGCTAAGGAGGAGTAACTGACCAAGTTAAGCATCGTTTATAATTGGCTGTGCACAGATGTGACTGGTGGGAAGAGAAGTAACAGCAACTGTAGCAGCAATAATAGAAAGGGTGCAGCGATTTGGACTAATTACACACGGCGAGAAATTTTAAACATGCGGTTTACGATGGTGAATCTCTGTTTTCGCTGCCACGTCAATCTCTGTTTGCTAATCTTGCCACGCATAGGAACTTAGTGCTTTTGCATCATTGACTCTCAGAATGCGGAATCACTGCTACTGTTTTTAACCTATTACTCCTCCGTGTGAATTGAAGATATTGTGCAACCTCCGAAAGCATGTTAAATTGTGTGCAGGAGCACTCTTCATCCTCCGTTATTGTAATACTTTGGTTAGTCTGACCCTTGCAAATCTGCTTGCCGTACTTCGCCTCCCTCAGGACCCTCTACAGGCTACATGTGTCAATGCTGTTTGTACGGTGTATGGAAATGTCACTGGTTGTGCCAAATGTGTTTGTGTTTTAAAGCTCTGTGTATATGCTTGCCTCTACGGTGGTATGCCTAGTATTTTTTGGCACTGCAATAGCAAGACAAATACCAATAAATTTGATTCGAATCGCCATAGTGTGATCGTTCTTTCCCTTTCCGGGTCGTCGACATTGGTTCGCTTGTTCTTGTTCCACTCTTGTGGACTTTTGTTGCATGCATTTATTGCGTGACAATAATGCTCATGTGATCACGTTTCACGCTTCAAGTCCTTCTAACTTCCTGTACACATCATTGGAATGATGTGCAATCGCGATTGTAATTTGTTTTTCAATAGATCAGCGAGTGCCTTTATGTCTGGTTTAAGTTTTTCAATACCAAAGTCTCACTGGATGCTTATCTTTTTTAGACTATTTACTATGGCGTTTTTGGGGTAGGCGACCCTTTCATTTGCGAAGAGGATCCGTCTGCAATTTATACGGATTCCACTTCCAGCCTCGACGCAACACAGCGTATACCCGTCCTTTTAAAATGTGTTCTGGTGATTGTTTACTTCAAATGTGGTTAACCACCGCTTAGTCTTTTAAGTCGAACTTTAAAAGATTTTGCGACGATTCTCCGTAATTTATTGAGGCATTGATTTGTGGGATTTTGATAGAGGTTGCGGAAAAGTAAGCTTGATTAATTGCATCTCCTTGTGACTAAAGTGCCTTCGAGACTAGAAATGGCTATACGATTGATGTGGGGTTGAACCTCGGATTCATCGTGATCGTCTTTGTCCCACGGGATTTGGCTTTCAACCATCTGTTATGCCTAGTCTTTTGACATGGCATGCGTTTTACCCCTCCAAACTCCAAAATTCAAATGTCTTTTCAGCCAATTTTCCTGTGTCCATTGCAACTAATTTATTTCAGCTTCCGGTACTATCCTGAAAAGGTGGTTTTAGCATATTGCCTAGAGGACAGCTAGGCATCAGGTCTTTTACCATTAGATTAACTTGCAGAAACAGCAGCCTGGCTGCATTTCTTTTCTTCGTATCCGATAAGCCGCTATACGTCTCTTTACTTTCTATTTCTGCCTCTCTAGAGGGTACTTTTATGTGCAACACTCCGTTTCATTACGTTACTCTCCTTTCCTCTGGAAAACTGCTTGGTGAGGGTAGTTTGGCACTTACGAACGCGCGCAGGCTTATGTTGATTGCCACTGCATTGGCTACTGTTTAGGCCGACTTTTTATCATACTTTATTTCCTAACTGAGTGCCTCCCGGATGTCAATTTTTCATTGCATTTGGGTACAAAATTTGACGACTGCATTTCTTCTCCACCTAATGCTAGCATGTTCAAGACACGTAGGCAGTTTCGAGATTATGGAATATAATCATTTGGATTGGCTTTAATTTGCGTGTATCCACTATTTGGCATGTAATTTGATAATAATGCTGTATCACAACATTAAAATTAGAGCTTGCTTGGAGTCACATCCTTTCTTCGTCACCTTGATGTTGTTTAGTCTCCTGTATTGCAAAAGAGGTTGGAATTTTCCTTCGATCAAGATTACATCAAAGACTAATTTTAATTTATGGAGAGATAAGACGGAGACGCTCTAAGCATGGGTAGAAGGGCATAGTATGAAGAGTGGTACAAGTCTACGGATGTTGGAGAACATGCGTAGCTAAAACGCCCAACGAAAGCACTGGTATTCTTATTTCCCTTCGACTACAAAGTGTTTCCGTGTATGAGCTTGAATTGTCTCGGGTCCATACTTCTAGAAGCGATTCGGCCTAGGTGTGTTTGTTTGCCGGTGAGCTTGGGTTGGTAGGTGCCCGGGAAATGGAGGATGTCGGTGGCACAAGGAGGTCAAAGCTCTCGTGCTTACGGTAATTGGTCAACCTTGATTGCAGGGATTGCTAGCACACTTAAAGTGTGTGCCTGGACGCGAGATCATTTGTTCGGAAAAGGGATGAAACCTCTGGGAAATCGCAACAGCAACGCCTTCTGTTGTTGCAGACATTTCTATTGCAAACACTTGGTAATTCAAACGTTAATGATTTCGCTTACGTGATTGCAATTAAAGGATAATTTTTTGTTCTGTCTACACGGCTTTGGTTTGGCAACATTTGCATGGTTTACTGCAGAAATTGGAGGGGAGGTGGGGGAGGAGGAAAAGTAACCTTGTTCTTTGCAGTATGCGGGGTGTGAATGTCGGTGCACTTAAGTGGTGGGCTTACTTTTGAATTATAGCCCTGCTCCATCCTCTCTCTCTCCACTTCACCTTGATTGGAATTGAATTCTTTGTTCATCCTCATTGTGTAACGACAAGTTTCAACGGAGCTACGATTTTTAACCCTATATTCTTAATGCACCGTCTTTATGCTCAAAAGGTATTGCCAGTTTAAGCAGATGATATATGACCATTTGACATTTGGTAAAGGCAATGTTTTTCTCCACCCGAATATTTCCCTTCCTAGTCATAGGTTTTGTTATTTTGTGGTGGGGAATAAACCGTCACCTAGGGTTTTCTCCTAAATCATCATTTCTGGAATGCTTGTTTGACAATGTCATTTAAGTCTAAAAATCTGGCCATTCAATGCTGGAGATTGGCTACATTTTGACTGATTGACTTGATGCTAGTGTGTTTGGCAAAGATCAGCTTGATTGTTTTTCGAGTGATGCAGTCCATCGCTTCGTTTCATCAATAAATTTTGGTAAATTGTCGTTCTATGCATTTTGAGGTCGACTGAGACAAAGCTGCAGGTGCCTGCTACTTCACTTTGCGTACATCTCACGCCACTTTGTGAATTTTAAGAGGGCCTCGCTATTTCCTCCTTTTTTGTTCTGTCTGGTGAGCGTTTGTTGTGCAATAACCGGAAGTCTTGATGCCATTTCCTGGAGCCTTAATTCTCCAAAATGGCTCAATAGCACACATCCGGAATTGTAATGTGCCATAAAGGCAAACTCTATCCAATCCTGTTGACAGTTTACCAGGTTTCTACATTTTCATGTTTTTCTGTTAACCGAAAGTCAATGCAGCACCACCAACGGGAGGTCTTCTAGTTTCATAAAACCATTCGTAGGGGTATTTTTTTTCAAGGGAATATCGTATGGCATGTGATAGCAATTTAAAAAAAAGAACATTTGTCAACTGTGAAGAGTTCGGTTGCAAAATCTACTCCCAAACATGCGTAAACACGCTTTATAACGTCACCACCGCTACCAAGACATTTTTATTATTATTCGTCATCGTCCTTAAGTCATGCCATGTTGGAATGGTAAATCTTTTTCTTCGTCTTCTCTCCCCTTCCCTCTATCACCTTCCATATGTGCATGTTACCCACATTATAAGTGCTTTTTGTTTACGCATTTTCTATTCCACACCCTTAACGCCCTTTTTGATGCCGATTTGGCAGATAATTCCAGTTGTGCTGAAGAGTTGCGTAGTAAATCACTTCTAGCTGTGTTACAATAGCTTCTGGTTGAGGCATTTGCTTAAACTTCAGTCTGATACAGCCCGACTTTGCAGTTTGAGCATTGACTCAAGAGATGCGGAAAACGTTGTCTTTCCCACCTGAAATAGTAGTGTCTTGAGATATAAAGCAGTGCACTTTCGAGGGCACATTATGTGGTGTACTTTCTTGTCCGTAAAAATGAAGATGGTGAACTGACGGAGCGTGTAATAGTTCATGCATTTGGGAGTAAAAGGCACGCCTTCCCTTGGTCGGCCGATTTATCTGCTTAAGTTGACCTCAGATGTGTCCACCTTCACCTTTTCCGTTAAACGAGGTCTTTAGTTGTTCTTACACTCTTTTTTGCGGTGGAATGCTTCACTGATTCAGGCATCGCTCGGCTTTTAAGGCAATTTGCTGGCTAGCATCAGTTACGACTCGCGTTGGTATCAATCTTCTCAATTGGGGTCTCGGAGGTAGAAGTGATGTTTGGTATATCCTTGCCGCTTGCTACTTATTCTTGGTTGTCTTGACCTGTTACTTCCACCATGAACGATGAAAACTTTTGTTGTATGCACCACTGTGCTACGTTTTTGAATGTTTTCATTCTCATTGGCCATCGTGAGAATGACGAAGTGAGTATCACTTTCATCAACCAAAAGCTCTTTCCATGAACCTCTCCGCCTTACATCAACACGTATTTCGTTTTGTCTGTAAATTTTCCTTCCTACTCACACATACTCAACTCCAAGCGTACAATCGTGTTATTTCCTGCTAAATTGTCTCCGTTCCGGTTAATGATTAATGCGTCGGTTTTACCTCTATAACACTGGCCTCCGTTCGTGGCCTTTGGCGTTATTTGGTGGTGGTCACTCGGCTTGTTCAAAATTTTGCATTCACTGTACACATGCATGTGCTCGTTCATTCACCAGCGGGTTGTGGTCGTGTTTTGCTGCTACGTTAGACTGCCATCGTAACCCGGCTAGCCCTGAATTGCCTTTCCTTCTGATTGGGTACTGTCCCCCTGTTTCCTGGGCATTTTATTGGTCCACATGCCTCTTGCGTGGGTCTTGGTTACTTGGCCAAGAGTTGGTAGACAAATTTCTCACCCTACTGCTTCTACTCTCTTCTTGTTCTCGATGCTGTTAGTTTTTGAGGAAACCTCACTGGCAGGCAGAATCACAACACTGTAGAATGTGTCATATTTCTACACACCAATGTTGCTTCCCCTTCTCACCGACTTGGGGTGAACAGGTCCTCCATTTAATTGCGTCAAAACAAGTCGACGTAGGAATTTGGGTGGCTGGCTACCATTTGTCGCCAGCGTCACATGTGATGCGCTGATTCTCTTAGGTGAGCTTTCTCTCATGAATACATTGCTTTGCTTCTTGCCACCGATAAGTCGTTGGGCAAAGCGTTCCGATCCAATTGGAAACCCAAAGCATAAAAGCATAAAATGAAGGCGAATTTGTCACTTAAGTTTTTGCATAAAGACAGAGTTTTCTGAGCTGCAGTAGTCGATTTTTCTGTAGTCGCAGACCTCAACGGCAACCGCATTAAGGAGGAAAATTTTAACGGTCGAAACGGGACGTCGGTGTTGATTTCAGAGGCGGTGTTGGGCATCTGCACAACCAATGTCATTATAGTGGCCAGTATTTTCCATCTTTCCTCTCGACTTGAGCTTTAACTTCTTTCCCTTGCCAAGTTCCTTTGCTTAAGTTTTTCCAGCTTTGCTTCCTGCTGCCCCTTCGATGCTGTAAACGAGACTTCGGGCCTGATCTCGTACCGCCCAAAATATCCTATTTTTGTGCATCGTGATTCGGTTTGCATGTTGCGTCGTTTATACTTTTCTTGGTGCTACTCTTATTAAAGAAGCGATTGTACGCTCTCAAATATCCTGTCACAATCTCTCAGTACCCATGAGTTACGATAGTTTGCATTTTCAAATTGAGTCATACTTTTTAATTGCCCATTAAAGATTCCATTTTGACCTCCGCCCCAACTATTATCTTCACTTTGATGCTTTCATTGCTGCTGAAAAAAACCCTCAATTTGCCTACATTTTATTCAAGATTAGATTATTTCGGTGTTTGGTTGAGCTTGGTTGTATTAATCACTTTATCAGAAACATTAAGAGAATGATCGTGCCCGGCTCAATGCCTTGTTTTCCAAGCATAGGAATAAGAAGTCACGCCTCAAACCCACCCTTTTCGTTTAGCCCTGTACCGGTAATACTGATGGTCTCCGCATCTCTGTGTTGAGCCAAATGCTAATATATTGTGATGGTCATCATCCCAGGGATCACTTAATACTACCTTCCACTTGATGAGAACACCTACTTCCCTAGTGCTCCCGGAACTCTGATCCACGTGACTTTTGGACGCTAAGTCTTGCGCATCGAAATTGTTGAGTGAGTGTGACGTCATCGGAGTTGTGTTGAAGGGAGCCCAAGTTACTAATCCCTATTTGTTTGCCTATATGAACAACCACATTATCTTTCTGGAAAGAATCCTGTCTTGGTGAAAACGAAGTCGCAATTCCCAAATAATTGCTGCTGTTTTAGGCCTTATCCTTTCAAATGTTGAATCGCCAAATTTACGTGTGGTTTCATCTATGCTGAAGTTAGGCTCCACTTTCAGACATGCAGCAACATCTGTTCTGCAGATCTTATCAGTGACATGGAGCTAAATATTGTTTTGGTGATCTGCAGCAATCACTGAGTGTCCAGTATGTAAGCGGACCGGCTCTTGGTCATTCTGTCGAACTTACCTTTGGATGTTTGACTTTTTATCTTTCATAGAAGTTTTATTCAAGGTAGTGGATTACGCTGCTATGGGCAAAAATGACCACATTGGTGAAGGCGTTAGTACTGTTATCACTTTAACGCAATTATTAGGTCTGGCCTTAAGTAGAAGGGAGGCGGACGGAGAGGGGAGAGGAGGGGACGTTTGGGTAACTGCAGCCAACAGACCGCTTATATTAACACCATGCCAACTCTTCACATGGCATTCTTTGTTTACTGCGTTACCTACCAGGAATATTTTACAATTTCGACACAATTGGCTTCGCTCTTTAGTAGCGCCGTCTTTTTAATGTCTGAGTCAGTTAGCGCCAAAAGACTTCACTGGTTCCTGAGGAGGCAGAGCTATCGTTTGTAAAAGAGGTGCGATGAGTTTATCCTAACTCTGCATAGCCAAGAATACAGAACTACCAACTACATTGTTGGAGTTGTTTGCTGGACTTCAGGTGACTCTTTGTGACCTTTGAATTCATTGAGATATCGTTTTTTACTTCATTTTAAGATTCCAGTTCAATTATGTCTCCCTTCAACTACCACGATATCTACTACAAGACTGCTGTCAAGTGTCAATGAGCACAATGAAAAGAAGTTTCTCTTGCCGAAGTCCATGAATGTGTTCCATGTTTTGTGGCGACAATTGCGTGCTGTCCTCATTTTGAGATGTAGATGTGCGTGTGCGCATGCAGAGGTTGACCGTGGTCAAAACGTCCTCTCTGGGTTCTTTTCTTGTGTATCCATTTCGCGGCTTGTAGTTGTACTGCCCCAATCGCGGCTGGTTGCAGGGACAGAAAACTTGTCGAGTTCCACCACTCGATGTTTGTCTTCATCTGCGTGTTTCACTTCATTTTATGGCCTTGTGTGTATATCTTGCCATTAAGTTTTCGTCGCCACCATGCCCCCACTGTTAATACTGCCGTGCGCTTACAATTTCGTGCTTCCCTGAATTTCTCTGCGTATCTTAACGGCTTCAGGTCCATGTTGCCGAGCGCTTTACCAATTCGAGGCAGAAAATGATACTGAGCTGGAGTTCTCGGAGGGCGAAGTCATTCAACTGATCAGACAGGTGGACGAGAATTGGTACGAGGGACGTTTGAATAACAAGGAGGGATTCTTCCCAGTAAACTATGTGGAGGTGATCGAGCCCCTTCCTTCGTCGGCCACAGATTTCTACGCAAACTGAACAGGAGTAGAACTTGCGGCCCTCCCTCTTTTCTTTCCTTTCCTCGATCGCAATAAATCCTCACCCGACATTTCCTCTCACTCACGCATATACCACACGGTGGCGGAAACCGAATCAATACCACGCCCGACCAAAATTTATTTCGCTGTCTGCGTTTTCCTCGGCTTTTTCGTCTCTGTCCTCCCCTCTATCCTTATGTCCTGGAGACAGGGACAAGTAGATCGTTGCTAGGGTCCCTTCCTCTCTTAATTTATTTATTAAGATTTATTCGACTGTCCCACCTTTCCCATCCACATACGTAACCTTGGTCATATGCTATTATTTCTTGCATTCATCTCTCCCACCGTGCACCCCTTAACTGGTAGGAGTTTACAGTCTTGCTTCTTCTTCTACTTTTTCGCTTTCTGTTGTCAATTTACTGAAATACACTTAAGTAGCCACTGTACTTGGAAGACCTTGTATGTATATTGAACAAACATGGTGTGGTGTGGAATCAATTGCCAACACTAAAAATGCTTTCACCACGCTCGGTCTGTACAAGTGCACACTCCTCCACCCAATCCTCAGACGGGCAGTCAGCTAGACATGAGAAGACTATGAGAGTCGAAAATTTGAGAGGCCATATAGGATCAAAGGTCGCATCAGGGTTGGCAGCATTTTCTTTCACTTCAGAAAGATAGTTGTTGAGAGTGGAAAAGAGCTGAACCTCAAAGACACGGCGAGTCCCACACCTAGGACACTCTAGATGAGGCGCCCACTCGTAACGAGGTACACCGGTAGTAAATATCGGTTGACCAATCCAGGCGTAGCGGACAGGTTCGCAGCCGTATTTGGGATCACGGGTAGCCAGATGAAGCTGATACTGTGATGTTAAAGTGACATCGTCTACATTACCAGACTCCACTATTTCATCCTCCTCTACGAACTCTGATTCTGCTTGATAATCCAAAACCCAACCAGAAAGGTCAGTGTTTTGCGATTTCTCCGACTGATCGGTATCCGTTTCAGCATAGACTTGTATGTAGTGACACTCAAAGGGACTTTTTAGGTGAGTGATTGTATGCGAAGTTTCAGGCCTTCTTGAATTGCTCATCTAGAAGAATGCGATTTTCATAACGTTCAGACAGTAGGGAATTATTCCCGATGAGCGCTGAAAAACCTTATTCTTACCCAAGAGGGATCAAACCAGGTATTGGTGTCGTTGCCCTCATCATCCTCATCCAACTTCCACTCACAACCGGCCACCTCAGCTCCGAGATCTTCCTGTAGAGATGTTTGAGGTTCTGAGGATCTGCCTGAGAGTCGGAACACACGCCAACAGCAACCAGTCACCTGACAATCTCTTTGGGGACAAGAGAAAAAGTATAGAACGCGATCATTCACATCCACTGGACAGTAAAGCTGCATAACAAAGGAAGTAGGACCACTACAGTTTGGGCATTCTGGTAAGGCTGAAGGGAAACTCTCAAGAGCCGTCCAAGTTGTTGGCGACCCACCAATAAAATTGTCAAATGCCGTTGGTGGCGTAACAGCAGTCTCTTCGTCAGGAAAACCAAGCAAAATATCTGACATGCTGTGTATAATGCCGCAAAAGGCTCGCAACAATCACTTGTGACTCGAATAATATGTAAATTAAGGGAGTAATAAATAAGTGACAGAGCAACAAATCGACACACCGAACTGAGTGGCTGTAAGGATAGCCAAACATTGACCTTGAAGTCAATCCCTGTTTCATCAAACTAGTTCTGATGCCATAAAAACTGAGTGACTTAAAATTCAACCACAAGTAATCTTTGAGAATTAATGACTGGATATCAAAAACATTGAGTTTACGGCGACTTTGATAAACTTTATATTACCTTAAACAATTAAACATTTGTTGCTATGGTCTTCGAATCAGTCCATTGTAGTCACAAACGAATTTTCTTATCTCTTACAGCTCTTATGGAAACTTTACCAAATAATATTCAATGGGATTGGTATTGCAGTCACTGACTGGTTATAGTGGTTTACTGGATACTTGGTTTTCGAATAGCACCTCTAATTGAGTAAGCTGATACAACGCTAGCGCTGCCAATAACATAGAATTTAGAGCTTCTGTCATTTTTTATTTGCTATGTTGCTTTTTTATTTGGTTTAGGGAGAATATTTCCGTTACAAAATTTGCATCGCCACGCATAGACAGTATGAATTATGGTGCTTAATTCGCACACACAAACTCGGACAAAAATGAAGAAAAATCGGACCATTTGCATTGAAAGATTAGGCTAATGCACTTAATTGCGCAAATTATTACTAACACCGTAGCACTCCAAGACTTCCCGCTATGTAGAAGAAGGCATAGTGTTGGACTTACCAAACGTACCCTTAGAGGACACAAGGCAATCGGGCTCTAATCCAAAGACTGGCCCACGTGTATAAGGGCGAGACAAATACCAAAGCTACCATTAAACATAGGGGTGGTCTCATTAGCAAAGCATTGCGCTACCCCTTTATTCGTTTGAGCATCGTCCTGGACGCCTTACTTGGTGCATCTTCCGTGTTAGTCATCACAACACTTTTGGCATCACGAAGAAGCACTCACGAGCCAGATGCGCCATTATCAGCTACCCTGAGATTGAGGGATCGTACTTGACCTTCTCGACAACTTCAACTAAATCTGAATTTTATTTAATTGTGAGCAAGAATTGTAACGAGGATTTTTCTGTTGACCGTCAGTCGCATTTAGGACCAAACGTTGGATCACTGACCTAAAACAGATATTCAACAGAGAAGACCGCATGAAACACAGTTCTTTATGTACTACTTCGATTATTTGACCACCTGATGTCTGTCGAATTTGATATTTGTTCTGCTTTAAAGGTGTGAACTGGCTAAATACGTGGATGTTAGGAGGAAGATGGGGTTGGAAATTGGCTTAGTCTAAAAACCTGCTAACGGGTTCAAGGAGAAGATCAATAGGCAAGTAACCGCCACACATACAGGTCGTCAAATGAACAAATTTTTCTAATTAACACTAGCGTAACTTTCAGTCCACGCCAAAAGACCCGCGGCTCAGAAACTTTGTGGAGTCGGCAATTTAGATAGACTCAATAGTAATTTGAGCCTTACTGTTCTGTTAACTTCAATATGGCTGTATGATGACCTAAAAATAAAAGAAGAGCTTTAAGTGATTAAGATGCGCAACTGCTCAACTGCACATACAGAAGGATTGTTATGAAATGACAAGTGCGCTTGGAGTTCATCGACGCCATGTCTAGACTTTCTCTGAGGTGTAAGATGCTACAGAGCGGTGACATAAAAGACAACACCAAGTTGTTTTTATAACAGCTGGGACGGGCTGGGGGGGCAAGGGCCTCCTCTTTAACTGAAAATATCTGGACCAAATAACGATAATCTGTTGTCAAGAATGGGCTCGTGACGTAAGCTGCATGTATGTGATCTTTAGAATTATCCCATTCATTTTGCAAACATATTTTCCTGATTTTGCGACGAAAATTGTTTTCTTTTTAGCCAAAATAGTGGTACTCCTTTTCTAAGGTTATTTTGACTCAGGTTGCTACAAGTCTCAAATTCTTTTCAACTTGAAATTTATCTAAGCCAGATTTGGTGTTTAAAGATTCCATCGAAACAGATCATTTAAATGGCGCTCTACTTTTGACAATTTTTATGACGCTCTTTTATACATATAGACTGGAGAAAATGTTTTTGCTAAGATTGACACCTTCATAAATGTGTGCAGCAAAGTCACATTTTGTTTAGCTGAGGAGTAAATTAAGGGGAAATTTTAGTTTTTAGAGCTGTATGACTTGGTCATTTTCTTCACCCATGCTTTTGGTTTATCGGCAGCTCATCACGATTTTGTTGATGGAAATTAAGTTTCCGCACAAGCATGAATATTTCTTTGCAATCTGATGCTGCTAACAGCAAGCTGTGTACTTTTGAGTCCTGCAGTTATGAGACCACACTGAGGTGCATGAATGGGATCACCTGCATTTTCCTTGATAATTATGAGCAAGGAAATGTAACTATAAACAGCATTGTGAAGGGGATCTGTAAAACTCAGCAAACTTGGATACTAGTTGGATGTTTTGATGTCGAATTAGTGGGAGTTGGTAAGCTTAATACTGCAGAATCGTGGGTGAGTGAGAGAATGGGAACTGAAGTGTAGTTGTTTAGTGTATGGGTTGCACAAATGTACCGTGTTTGGGAACATGGGGATCGAATCTGAGTGTGGTTCTGCGGAAGGGGGCGTATTCTCGAGTACGAGCAGAGGTTGGTCGCTCTCTTCAATTCTTTAACCCTGCGGACTATGTCGCACTCACCGTATCCGTCACTTTCGACTCAGTCTAACAACCCGTTTTTGGCATTAAATTCGCCCGCCTGAAGGGTTGCAATTTTATTGTCGTCATCGTTCACACGGTTGTCGAGTTAGCTGATGTTCTTTTACCCCTGCAAAAAGTCATCGTCACATAAACTTCCCAATGTTGACTATTTAATAGGGGAAATGGAAATCTACGTTCGAGGATAATGCGATGATTTTTCTTTTTTTAACCTGTTGAATAACCATGTTAGGGGATGTGGTGAGTTCCTAACCGGATCACTAAAGTCATGTAGTGTTCGGGCGTTTTCCTCCTCATTCACTTGCCTTCACAGACTCTCCAATCGTCCATTTGCCTTCCTCACTCGATCTCGGAGACTGTCCTGAAGTCGGAGAAAGACATAATGGTCGGGTTGGTTATACAACTTTAATGTTTTGCAGTTCAGTGCCTTCAATATTAAAAGGAAGGGTTTAGCACGTTACTGAAGCATCTTTTCTATGCTGCACCTCAATAGAGGCTAAGAAAAGGCTAAATGAATTGCAGCCACAACTTAGCAACTTAATCTTTCTATCGTGAGTTTAAACGAGTACGCTCCGTTTTTTGTATTTCTACGACAACCATATTGGAGGAGAACATCGCTTTGCCGATCAAAACAAACGCCCAAATACATTAATTTGAGTAGCAAAATCCGGTCCGTTGGTTGAAAATAGAGTGATTCAATCTTTGTTATCGCGCCACTGAGGGCCCCGTCGCTGACTCCCCGCCGAGTGACCTGGCCTCCAAGCTAGGTTAGTCACCTCAGCCCATTCACTCTTCCACCTGCTCCCTGAGTCCTCTGGATGTAAACAATGGAGTCTGTAATGCTTCGTTTATGTAACCACATGACGTTTGGCGTTCAGTAAGATTTGTCTGACCTTACACTCCTGGACTGGCCTTCGGGCCATGCTCAAGCCCATATGCTTTGTCCCCTTTGGAATACATGTATGCGGCTTAACCTACCGCATTCTTCCACTCAGTGGGATGTCTGGGAACGATACAGAAACAAAAAATTCGAAGTAGTTCAAAATTATGAATGCAAATTTGCATTAAACCTCGCAGTAAGCAGTAATTTTCCCATAACTCCAAGCGGTCCGAACGTTCAAGACACTACACTCGAGTGTCTTATCAGGAGCTCCAGCTCTCCTTTCGCCAACTAAGTTAACTAAATAAAGGTGTTTAGCAGGTCTATCATTTTCATGAGGCACAAAGCCACATGGCACGCCGTGCAATAGGCCTATCCAGAATTGTAGAAGGGAACATGCACAAGTGCTTGAGAATCGACTATGAAACCACGAAAATAAGGTAAGATAGATAACTGAAAAAATCCTTAATTTATTCTTTGTTAGCTGCGGTGAGAACTCACTATTTCAGGTTACTTGAGCAAATATAGGGAGCGCAGAAACCACGCTCAAACTTCGGGACTGTGAAGAGCCTGCATATCATCTGCTTTCATTTTTAATCAGTTGCTCTTTCAGAGGTTGTTGAGAGATCATTGGTCAAGATTGCACAACCAAAATACCACCTTTTCTACCTTTCCAAATTCATAACTAGTCCGCACAAAACTCGCGCAACAAGGTCATTTGATCGGTGCTTCTTCTGGAATGGGTGATCTAATTTGGAAATAATTAGGCATAGGAGGAAGCTCATTCGCAAAATCTACATCTGAAAGCTCGGGTATGAGATTTCGTCTGGTCAAAACTACTCACGTGTTTCCAAAAGGAGGGCAAGGTGTTTTCTACTGTGAGAAAACATGTTGTTATTTGGAGACCACACCTGTTCGATGGATTACTTTCGGTTACGATAATTGGAGTTAATGACTGCAATGCATTATTCACAGTCCCTGAATTCGCCTTTGCTGAGGCCTCTTTTAAACAGATCACCGCCTTGGTAGAGGCGTGGTGGATGAAAAGCGATGTCGCGGGAGGTTACTGGCGTTGACATGACTTGGTTGTGTTTATGGACCTAAAACGGTGTATCAGGTGAGAAGCATTGCAGTATATGTACATGTACAACAACTGCATAACTCCTTTCCTATACACAGGAAACTCTTGTTTGAATAGCCTTACTTTCACGCCAGGTGGTTTAAATTTTGCATACACTCGAAAACTGATAACCCTATGGACTTTCAGAAACTGATTTTGTAGATCTGCGACCATCACGGATGGAAGTATTATTACTTTCAACCTCACAAAATTAATTTCTTAACTTGGC